AAGGACCTCCCTACATTAATACCTTTTTTGATTATAAATGAGTATGTGTTGTGGCAGAAATTTAGAAACTGTAGAAAATACGAAGAAAATTTAAGTTGTCCGCAAATCCACACCTAACGATCACCGCTGTTGATGGGGAGATATACGTATATGTATCTCCTTCCCTAGTCTTCCCTGGGGAAGGTCATGAGCTGGACACTGGCACTTGGAGGCTCGACAGCCTCCCCCCTGTCCTTGGAATGTGGGCTTTGCTTGCCTTTGCCACCATGGACATAGTCTTGAGATACTGATGTGGTGTGGAAAACACCTGCGTGGTGTATGTGACTGAACCCAGTTAAGGCCTCTTTATAAACTTTTGAAGATCTGGTGGGTGGCTGTGGGGATCCATTCATCTTGCTGCTGCCCAAGACAAGCCTTGTATGTAAGTTTCCTTTGCTTAATAAAACTGCCACCTACCAAGCTGGAGTGCCTGCCTCTTTCTTCAGTCTCTCCCCAGTCTCTGAACATGAGGCTGGTTTCAGATCATACCAGGGAAGCTCCCAGGGGGTTTTGAACCAACATCTGTATGTGAATATAAACTTATAATCATCTTTTCCCACAAGTTAGTCATAGACTTTCGTAGCCCCTCCTTACTATAAACCCTCCTCTAGGTGATTATCTTTCCACATGGTCAATGTTGATATGCATACAATTCCATTGTGGGATTGTCCATATTTCTTGTGATGTTTACTCGTAGACAATTTGGGTAATTAAAATTATTTATATACTGCACTGTTATGAATATCCTAATTATTTGCTTACATCCTTAATATTCTAAAGGAAATCTTCCTAAACACAGTACTGTTGAGACTAAAGTTGGGCACTTTTGGAGGCTTCTTCAAACTGGTCTCCAAAAAGTACTGATTTACACTTCCACTTATGCTACCACTGACTTATTCTTTGATTTAGACTGAAGCATGGTTGCTCCTGGTTCAAATTTGGATTCACAGTTCATCAGCCTCTTACCTGACCCACTTATCATTTATATTGCAGCTCTTATTAAAATATACCAAGGGCGCCTGGGTGGCTCAGTTGGTTGGACGACTGCCTTCGGCTCAGGTCATGATCCTGGAGTCCTGGGATCGAGTCCCGCATCGGGATCCCTGGTCGGCAGGGAGTCTGCTTCTCCCTCTGACCCTCTTCCCTCTCGTGCTCTCTATCTCTCATTCTCTCTCTCTCAAATAAATAAATAAAATCTTTAAAAAAATAAAATAAAATAAAATATACCAAGATAGACTGTGTTCCCTGTTAGACCACATCCATTTCAGGGGCTGTGCTTTCTAAAATGGATTTGGAAAAAAAATTTAATCCACAGGACTGGAAAGGCATTTGTTTATTGCATTTTGAGAGTTCTTATAGATACCAAGTCCTTAATCAGATACATGATTTGCAAATATTTTCATCCAGCTTGTGGTCTGAGTTTTCATTTTGATAACAGTGCCTCTCAAAGAGGAGTTCTTAAGTTTAATGAAGTCCAGTTTATGCAACCTTTTTTTGTTTATGTACACCCACTCTGATGGCTAAAATTAAAAAAGACAGATGTCGAGAAATTGAAACCCACATACAATGATGGTGGTAAAATTGTGCCGCTGCTTTGAAAAATATTTTGACATTTCTTCCAAAAGTTAAATATAGACTTATTATATGATTTAACAATTCCACTCCAGGTATAGACTCAAGAGAAATGAAAATAGATGTCTACACAAAATTTTATATGTGAATGTTCATAGTAGCATTATTCATAACAGACAAAAGAGAGAAACAGCCAATTGTCTCCCAATTGATGAATGGTCAAAATGGATATATATGTGTACGCACTTTATATTATTATATTATCAGTCATAAGAAGAAATGAAATACAGATAATTGTCACCTTGAACCAGCAAAGATCAACCTTGAGAACACTGTGCTAAGTGAAAGGAGGCAGTCACAAAAGACTCTATTATTATATATGATTCTATCTATGGGAAATGCCCACAATAGGCGAACGAACCTAGGCAGAATGGCTTCCTGGTTGCCGGGGCCCGGAGGAGGAGGGAATAGAGAGTAAGTGCTAAGGGGCACGGTGTTTCTTTCTGAGGTGATACAATGTTCTGGAGTTAGATCGTGGTGATAGTTGTACAACTCTGTGAACAGACTAAAAATCACTGAATTGTATACTTTTTCTTTTAAAACAAGATTTTTTTTTTTTTTTTTTGAGAGCAGACGGGGAGAGAGAGCCTGGGCGTGGGGGGGGGGCGGAGCAGAGGAGGAGGGAGAAGAGCGGAGGCCTCTGGCAGACCGCGGGCGCCGCCAGCCCTTTAGGTTGCAGGGTCCCACTCGCGCGGCGGGGTCAGGGGGGCCTGGAGGTGTCGGCGACCCAGGCCCCCGCCCAGCGCCGGGAGGGACACCCCGGCCTCTAGCCGAGCCCCGCCCCCCAAGCACCGCCCACGCACCGCCCCCGCCGTGGCAGGAAGCCTAGGGGTGGTCTCGGGTCCTGGGTGCGGGAGGAATCCTGCAGGTGCCAGTCACCCGAGTGGGGACCCGCGGAGCGACTGCGGAGCTCGGCCTGGAGTCGTCGGGATCCCGGCCCGGAGGGAGGAGCGGCGCGGTGCCGGAGGGGGGCAAGTGGGGGCGTTCCGGGGCAGGGCGGTGACCGCGGACGAGGAGAACCCCCGCGCTCCGGCCTGGAGACAGGACGCAAGGACGCGAGCGTACCCGAGCCGACCTGGCCCTCTCCCTGCTGACAGAAAGAGAGCCCTTCACTTCGCAGCTGCTCGGTGGCGCAGCGGCTCGGTGGGCTGGGTGGCTTGGGTGGTGCAGTTGCTCGGTGGGCTCGGTGGCGCAGCTGCTCGGTGGGCTGGGTGGCTTGGGTGGCGCAGTTGCTCGGTGGGCTGGGTGGCTCAGTTGCTCGGTGGGCTCGGTGGGCTGGGTGGCTCAGTTGCTCGGTGGGCTTGGTGGCGCAGCTGCTTGGGGGCGCAGTTGCTCGGTGGGCTCGGTGGCGCAGCTGCTGGGCGGCGCCCGTGCCTCCCGATCCCAGCGAGCCCCAGGCGCTGGCGCTCCCCCGTCTTCTCTCTGCCCCTCGCACGCCTCCTCCCCGCTGGCTCGCCGCCCTCCAGCCGCATTCCCACCGGCCCTGCTTCCTCACCTCTTCTCTCTCCTAGGGATGCGCGGAACGACATCTCCCTACCTGTCCTCTTTCCTGCTAAAATCACCAGTCTGCAGCTGCAAATCCAAGTTCTTGCAGGCCTTCCACACAAATTCATGGAGTCTTTCCCGTTTCCTGAGCTCTCTTGCAGGCCCTCGCCCGGCAGGCCTTCCACAATGAGCTTCCAGTAGGGGGGGACCACAGTGGGCCAAAGCAGGAATTCCAGGGGCGGGTGCCGGGGCCGCTGGGGGTCAGGGGAGCGGGTGACTGGAGACCTGTCTCGGGCGGGCCTTCGGAAGCCTCCTGAGGCCGGGATGTTTGAGTGCGGGGGGCGGGGTGGCGTGAGTGCCATTAATCAGTTGCGGGGGGGGGGCGCGGAGTTGGATAAACAGTGTTTTCAAAGGCCCAGGGGTGACTTGGAGGGAATGAAAGGCGGTCAGGATGGCTAGAGGCCGAGGAAGCGGACGGGTGGGGCATAAGCCGTTTAAATGAAGTGAGCTTCGAGCTTATCCTAAGGGCCCTGTGAGGTTTAAGAGGAAGGCTGAAAGGGTCCTCTTTCCTGTCAGAATGGAGTGTACTGGATGGGGGGGGGTGGCTCAGTCCGCGGGGAGAGGGATCAGGTGGTCTAGACTGGGTGCAGGCTCAAGAGAAGTAGACTGGTTCAAGAGCCATGTAGGCAGCAGAAGGCAAACCTTGGTGATGGGCCTGAGGGGATGAGGAGCGGTGGGTCGGAGGAGTCAGGGAGGTCTCCCAGGGTGTGACGCCAGCAGTTGGGTGAGTGAGGGTGTCATTTCCACCCTTAGCTAATTCCCTGGAGAAATATGGGCTGGGGGATGGGAGCGGTGTGTGGTCAGCAGACCTGCCCACTCACACTTAGGCTTCTGACCTCGTAGCTACCTAGATACTGGCCTCCCCATTCTCAGTGGTTTTGCTCTTTCTTGGACCCTTCTCTGTTCTTCCTTACCTCTCCATTCTGGTGTTCCACCGGGGCTGCTCTTCGGCGTCTCATGCACAGTCCACTGTAGAGGCTTTTTCTGAGACTAACGAGTAAAACTCCCAAATCAGTGTTTCTGAGTTAGCAAAAAAAAAATTGTGAAACAAAAACGCCTAGACTCCTCACCCTCAGTGCCAAGGTCCGAGGATCACGTGATGCCTAGCCGCCAGCAATGGTCAGGCACTCTGAGTTGGGTGTT